AGTTATTCTCTGGAGATAGCTGGCTGCCCACTTGCTTCTGAAACATCACCTTGGTAGAAGAGAGTACTATGAGTAGTTTGCAGTCTTTGGATAAAAGGATCAGGAAACCTTTGGGGGCCAGCCACCCTCCTGACGAGTAGTTAAACTTTGACTGATCACACATTGCCCTCATGATCATATTAGTGTGATGTATCCAAAGGGATTTCAACTTGTTCCATAGCCTCTGCTGCCTTTTATCTTCTCTGTCTTCTTGCTAAATCATGAAAAACATAACCCAGTGCATGTGAATCGTGTCTTCCCTCCGCGCAAGGCTCTCAGTGCTGTTGCCAACATTGGCTTGAATGCTAGAATTTGGCAGTCCCCATATTTCCTCCCCACCTCAGTTATACAGAGCATAACTGTTTCTTTGGATTTATACTGCTACCCAAGTGAGTGGTAGCACAAAGACACACAGAGAAAAAAAGTTTAATTTACCTTTATTCATAACTTGTATGAAAAGCCTCTGTTCTAGAAATCATTTAAAATGATTGTCCCAACAGCCCTTTAGCATGTGTTCAGCTACTGTGTACCCCTTTAGTTTCTTCCACTGCTGCAGACAAGTGTCTGCCTTCCCCTCTTGCTTCCCAGTACCACCTCAGCTTCCCAATCCAGGTACAGGAGGCTGGGCAGTGGGGCAGGTTGCTGCTCCTGCTGGCTTTCCTGGCTTCTCCTCTTGCCTCCCAAGCAGCCCTTGCCCCTGCAGCCGTGCTCTGGCCAGAGGGATGCTTTCTGCAGTGTGGGCAGGGAGCCTGTATGGGATGCTCCTCCAAAACACGATTTGTCCCACAGGGTGGGAGGTACGTGGCAGTTAGTGTAAAAAGTAGCATTTGTTTTGTTGATTTTCAATTACAAGTGCTTTGAGGGCAGGGCCTGTCTTTTCTGTGTGTACAGGTGGGTGTGTATTTTGTACAAGTCCTAGTGTGAGACATGCAGTTAGGAGCTGCAGCGTGCAAAGCCATGGCTTTCTGTGCTGTGGTAGCTTGGAGAAGTGTTTCTCCAGATTGGCAGAGGTGAACAGTGATTCTGATCTCAACACTGGAGCCATTCAGAGACACAACTTGCTTTCAGCCTCTGAACGTAACTGTCACTGAGCAGCATATCCCGGTATATTCCAGGTGCAGCAGTGGTAAGCTCACTGTAAAAACATGGCCCCATGTCCAGAATCCTTTAGGGATAGGTTCCTTGACAAGTTTAGGAAGAAAAAGCTGCATTGCATCCTCCATCAGTTGATGACCAGGACCAACCACTTTTCATCCTTAATTTTTTTGTAGTGAAACAATTGCTTTCACTACAAAGAATTTGGATTAGAAAACAGACCTTGCTCTTCATGTGAGCTGTAGGTAGAAAAGAACCTGAACTTTGAAAAACTTTAGTTTAAGCCTGATGCTTTTTTTTTGTTGTTTTTTAGGCAGGAATGTATTTTTAAGCCTTTTCAGGTATCAACACTATATTAAGCTTCAGGGAGAAGTCAGTGCTGACATTTTTGGTTTCTGTTCCTTTGGCATATTCTTAACTTATGTTTTGTGCGAAGTTGTCACATTTCAATGAAATGTGATGGACTTCTGCAGCTTGTAGTGTGTGATTTCACAGTTTCTCTGTTTTGTAAACTTACTTTGTAAACTGAAATGTCCTTAGGAGAGTTTCGGGTCAAAGCTTAGGAGTACCTCCAACAGTGTGAACAGGCGTGTGCTGGGTTAGACAGCATGTGGGCTGTGGAGTCTCTGTTACTAGAAGGTTTTAGTAACAGAGCTGTAAAGAATGACATAGATGTTACTGGCTCTGCCAAGATGTCCCCTGAGGTCTTTCACATGCACACCCTCCCACCATGATTTCCCTGATATCTGGATAATGCATTGCATTCATTTAACACACTTCTATTCTTTAATCACTTGTGTTTCCTTTAACTCAAAATCACATTCCAGCATCAACTGGGAGAATGTCCTGGGACTCTGACATCGTGGTTCTGGGATGTCTAAACTGACTGACCCTGGTCTTCTGCCTGTGACAAGAGAGTGCTTAGTCACAGGAGTGTTTTTGTCACCTTTGATTACATGTCATGCGCTCATTCTTCTAAGCCGTAAACCACTCACTGTGGAAGTGCTACCGTGAAACTCCTCTTGGGGACAGCAGGTAGAAATCTTCCTTTTTGCTTGCCAGGGTAGATGGATATGAGGATTTTATTATTCTTGGCTACAAACACAAATGAGAAAAGGCGCTGCATGGAAAAGTCGCATCCTGTGCACAGCCTTGAGGTCTCTGATGAAACAAAATGACACAAAATTCACAGATGCTAAAAATAGTGATAACATCAGTTTGATGTTGCATTTTGTGTTCCTCCTATAATATAGTAAAATGGCCTATAATTCACATTGCAAAATTGGCATGCATGTCTCTTTGAAGATACCATCTTCGCTATGTGTCTGCAGTGGCCAGGGTTACAAACCAACCCTCTACAGTGCTACAACAAGCCATACAAATAAATAAATCAATAGGAACAAATAACACCAGCTCCTCAGGGGCAGCTGCCTGATCTCAATCTGTCTTGCTTAGGTTGTGAGCTCTTCATAGGAAACGTTGTACAGACTTAAATTCACCCCTGGTGCTTAGGAAGGTAATATAGTATGTTAATTCTGTTTATTATGTTATTATATATTTATTATAATGATTTTAATTCAGAGTTTTAACAAAGTCCTTGCTAACAGTGATGAGTTTGTTTGCAGCTCTGTCTTCAGCCTGGCATTTTAAGATGAGTGCTTGTGGCCTGTCAGAGCTGGTTGCTGTAGCATGAAAATGCTTTGGGAAATATGTTTTTCTTAGCTTTGTATGCATACTTCATCTGTTAGTGCTAAACAGCTTTTTGGAGGGTGACTGTCTCACTGTCACGGCCTGCGTGGCTTCACTCTTTCTTTCCTCCTGTTTATTGAATACTATTAGCTTCTGTATATTTCCTATTTTCCCAACTTGTTTGGCTTTCAGACCCTCTGTAACACTGGAGTCTGCAAGCAGAATATTCCTTTCTCTAAGATGAAAGACAAAACCCAGCCAAGGGGAGCTAAACTAACTTCTGACTATATGTTAGAAGGTTGGTGTTACCACTACCTTGAACTATGACTTCGTATTTCATGCAGCAGCTTCTCTGCATTGTTTATGTTCTGGTTGAAGGGGATCTTCCTATTCCAGGATGCAATAGGAACGTCATTTTTCCTCTAACCTGAACAGATGTCCTATGTGCAGTAATAACAATAACATTGCCACTTCCTGTTGTTGCAGATGTTGTTAGCAGGCTAGAAGTGAAAGCAAAGAGGGGGCACAATTCAGTCCATGTTATTTAATGCCATGAGCAGCAATGCTACCTCCTTTTCCATGTGCCCTCTTGGCTACCCTGGAACACAAGTTTATTTCTGTTTTATGTTACACACGGAAGGAGTCCTTCCAAAATCTCTGTTGTCATTCTCTGCCTTGACCTTTGCTTTCTGTAGATTTGTTTACGTTGAACCCAAATTACAAGTGGTGTGTTACCACATTTAGGGAAGGGGTGCCTGAACTGAATCTGGCACATGTTTGAGTGTATATCTCCCCATTCTCAGGCTTTAGGGCACGGCCCTGTGCAAGTCTTCAATCAGCAATTATTGTGTTCTCTTTCCTTTTTATAGGAGTTCACTATCAAATCCTGTAACGTTTCTATCACTAATCTTGCAGGCAGCTATTCAGACCACAGGAAGCTTAGGAGAGAAGAATATACACTTGGGGCCTTATTCCATCTTCATTATTCCCTCCACCAGCAGAATTCCTTAAAGTCTCTGGAAGTTTGATGTGAATGGAAAGTATTTTGCCTGAATAGCACCCCTTATTGAGGCATTGTCACCAAGTCACAAATTTCGATGAGTGTTGTGGCTAGCAGTTTAATCTATACTGCATGGCCGGTTTTTCACACCAGCACTGTGAGCGCTAATCACTTCTAATGGCCTAGGCAGGATTGTCTGGCACTGAGGAACTTCTCGATTTGAGAGCTGGACACTGAAGGGGAAGAAAACAGTTCCTATTCAAGACTTTATCTGAGATTTTATTCATTTTGGCAATGACAGGAATATTGTGTTTTAATGGTTTTTAGTGGGAAACACAACATTACTAAAGGAGGAAACCCAGGGTTCTGTTCACAAAAAGATAGTTAAAAACTTGTGGTTTGGAGGAAAAGGAACAAAGACAAAACTGTGATCTTGCATAAAAAATAAGAAGAACTGAAAATCGTAAATGTAAGGCAGTATCCATTGCTGTCAGTTAGATGATAAGATGGAAGCTTTTAGCTCTTTCTCTATCTACTTTTTTGTGCCTTATTATATGAATATTATGTTTTGTGCCTTAGTGTATGAATACTAAGTTCACAGTTCTGGTGTCCTCAACATAAAAAGGACATGGAACTGTTGGAACAAGTCCAGAGGAGGGCCACGAGGGTGATCAGGGGACTGGAGCACCTCCTGTATGAAGATAGGCTGAGGAAGTTGGGGCTGTTCAGCCTGGAGAAGAGAAGACTGCGTGGAGACCTCATAGCAGCCTTCCAGTATCTGAAGGGGGCCTATAGGGATGCTGGGGAGGGACTCTTCATCAGGGACTGTAGTGACAGGACAAGGGGTAATGGGTTAAAACTTAAACAGGGGAAGTTTAGATTGGATACAAGGAGGGAGTTCTTTACTGTGAGGGTGGTGAGGCACTGGAATAGGTTGCCCAGGGAGGTTGTGAATGTTCCATCCCTGGTGGTGTTCAAGGCCAGGTTGGACAAAGCCTTGGGTGACATGGTTTAGAGCGAGGTGTCCCTGCCCATGGCAGGGGGGTTGGAACCTGATGATCTTAAGGTCCTTTCCAGCCTTAACTATTCTATGATTCTATGAATATATTGTTGTATTTAAAATGACTACTGATCTTGCATGTTATTGTCAATCAGTATTGTCTTCTCCTCATTTCAGGTTATTGAAGGAAAGCTGGCTCCTTTCTTGGGGAAGGTGATCAAGTTTGCCACCTCTCATGTGTACAGCTGCAGCCTTTGTAGTCAAAAGGGTTTCATTTGTGAGATTTGCAACAATGGAGAAATCCTTTACCCCTTTGAGGACATTTCTACAAGCAGGTACTGTCATGTCAGTCATATATTTGACTCCTGTATGGTATTCTTGCAGATTCTCGGCCTTGTGACCTCTTATTTAAATAACTGGGAACTGGATCCCACTAATGCATGTTTCTGATCAGCTACACTCAATTACTGGTTCAGGGAGGCTACCATGAGTGGACTTGGCAATAGATACAAAGAGCTATTTCCCAAAACTTTGTGAGTCTCAGATCAACTGTTGAAAAAGGGAAATGATCCCACTAGCATGGCACAGTATGACTTACCCAAAGCTGTTCTGCGTTTGCAAAGTGTCCTAAAAAGCCAAATGGATTCTCTGAAGTGATCACAGACATCCTTCTGGTATCTGATGACATTGGGCCCATGATATACTGGGGTTATCCATTATGAAACAATAACCGTGTATTCTGCAGTGTCTTCCCCATGATGTTCTGGCTAATTCTCTGCTTTCTGTGTGCAGACTCCTCTGTGCCTCTCTATGTAAGATTTTATTTTTTGTAAATGGCATTGCTATTTTCAGGTGGCTACAAAATAACTATAAGCGTATGCCATTCCCAAGGTGAACAAAAAAACCTTTATTTCACATTATACGGAGTACTGGATGCCAGATCAGGGACAGGAGTTGCATGGGAAACCTAGAAGCAAAATGCAGGAAAACGGAGCAGTCTTGGCAGTGCAGCAGTGTACTACTGCTGCATTGATAAATACAATTTGAAATTGCAATACAAAATACAAGGCATTTCAAAAATGTCTTGTATTTCAAATAAAGGAGGTTTTTTTCCTTAAACTCACCAGAAGGACAGTCCGCCTGACAGCACAGCATTCCTCCACAGATAAGTACTTTTCTGGCTGCTTCAAATACAGTCATTTTAATTTGTTCTCCAAAGTGTTCCATTGAAGGGAAAAAATATTGAAGAGCCACCTTTGGAAACAATCAGGACCAGCCTGTTGAAAGGGCTTCATTAAGAGTCTGATTCCCCTGTGTGCACAAAGATGTCAAATTACAAGTAACCAAGCACTGCTCTTTGGGGATTTTCAGCCTGACCTGAATTTCAAAGACTGTTTGCACATTCTTTTTTTTTCTACCCAGACTCTCATTCTAAAAACTGCATTGACAAAGCAGTGGACATAAGCTAAACAAGGTGTGCAGCTGAGCTCTATAACTGGTGTTTGAGAAGGAATGTATCTAGGGTTCATGGTAGTTAAAAAGGCTGGGTTAAAAAGACACTAAGATGACATAAAACATAAGATGTCTATTGAGACTGTATAAGGGGCAATTGAAGATATTCCCCAAAGATTGATGAGAACGTGTAAGAGCATTTGGAAAGACAGGTTTACTTGAAATGCCTGTGCGTTTGATTTGTCTGGAGGATTTTTGGTCACAAAAACATTGTTGGGTGTATATTGTTCCCCTGCCCTTCAGCTGAGATCAGACAATACCTTGCAATTACAGAGTATAAACCCTTCTGGAATCAAATAATATTTGTCAGCAGCTCAGCGAAAGCCAAAAGAAGCTGCTCTAGCTCCTGGTTTTATGTGAATTAGAAGCCAGAAAGGACTTTTGTTCTTGCTTCACAAATACAGAGTTGTGGTTGATGTCATGCCAAAGACAGCAGTCTTTGTTAATGACTTTAATTAGAACACAATCAGCACAAAATGTTCTCCAATATTTTTCTTTCTTATTTTGTCAGGGGTCATTCTGCTTACTCCTTTTATGCTCCTTATCATTAAACCTTGATTTTATCCCCAGCATTTTCCATTTCCTTTCCTAGTTAGTTTTCTGGTCTCATTAGTACTGGTGTGTGCACATGCACCTCTGTGAAACTAACCAGATTGTTTCAGTTCCATATTTTTTCTCTTTTCCACCTTCAGGCTGGAGGCAAGTGATGCTAGCAGAGGAGTTTGTCTGTTTTACTGTGCAGCTCCATCAGCCATAAAGCAGTGAGGGGGAAGGCCAGATAGAGGGGTTTTGTGTTTGTCTCCATGTCTTAGAGATAAGAGTTTTGAGGTAGGTGTGCAGTCCACTACAGTGACAAGTGTAAGGTGAGGAGGCTACTCAGAAATAGGTGGATGTACAGTGTAACCTCTGGCAGATGGAATGGCAACTCACAAAAGGTTTGTGGGAAGACTTGAAATTATACCTGAAGTTTCTGATTATGTGTTCGGCTTTCCTTGTTAGCTAAGCGTTATACAGAGCTCCGAGTAAACAATTAGCTCCAATTTGTCATTGGGTTGTACTATTTTGAGTCCAAATGTGCAGTGAGAGTTGACTGTGATTTCCTTTCTCAGTGCTGGTTTTCTGGATTTGCTGTCTATCTACAGCACAGTATTCACATTTTGTACTCAACAGAAGACAGCCAAGTACCCTGGCTGTAGCTGCTGAGTTAAGGAGGGAAGAGCAGCTGACCTCTGAAGACCATGTTTTTCCTTCTTGGTTTTCAGTGTTGCTCATCCACTTTTGAGTATGCTGCTGATTCTGCCAGCAAACTGGGCTGTTTGGTTAGAAATACTCAAAAGTGGGTGCATGACAGCTTTTGCAAACTTTACCTCTCTGTTGAATGTTTGAAAAGCAAAGTCTCTGTGTGTGTGTGTCTGTGTTGAGCTGGCATTTGTTTCTCTGGCTACCTCCCTGACCTTTCTTGCTCTTTGAAGAGAAGAATGACAGCTGTCAGAGAGGCCTTTTAATTCCAAGGTGGTTCTCAGCTCGCTGTTATCTTTCCATCTTCATGGTCTCTTAGGTCAGCTTTGAGGTGGAGGGATTGCTTCTCTCCAAACTATTCTCAGCAGTTTCTGGAGCAGTCTTCAGTAGGAATTTTTGAAGGATGGGTCTTCTTTAGATAGATGCAGCTGAGAGAAAAGGAGGGCCCCTCTTGAGGGCTGGAGTTTCTCTTTGGTCAGGTTATTTGCTTGAGAGTAATTTTTGTCAGTCCTTGAGCAAACAGAGTGAATACCTGGGTTATGCACTCCTCAGGGTTTGAATGCACATATATTACATACCCTTCTCTCACTAATCAGCATGACACATTCCTTTGTTGGCAAACGGTTCCAAAACAAACACAATCAGTTCACTTAATTAGCGGGTCTGTGGGCTGTGCTTGGCAGGCTCTTTACATCCTGCTCAACAATACAGTGCAACAGTTTGCTGCCTTGAGTGTAAGGATGGGCTCACAAAGTCATAAGCTTTCTAGTGATATTTCCTTTCTGTGGCTTTTCTTAGGAAGTGGCCATTCTGTACAGCTTAATGAAATCTGTGATTCTTTAAAATTGTCCCATCCTTTTGGGTACCTTTTCCAGTCACTTTGATTCCCTTGTCCCCTGATTTTCTCTTTTCTGCTTTACCCGTATTTATGTAACTGTTCATAAGTGTTCTTCCTAAATTTCACAATTTTGGCATTTTATTTGAGGGCCTTTAACTCATGAGAACTATGCTTAAAGCCTCTTGAGTTAATTGTACTTTTCATGGAGCAAATTGCCAACGAATGTAAACTCTTACAGCTCTGCCTTTGCTGGAGCTCTAGCAACCTAAACGATGTGAGCATCTACCTCCTGTTTTATTTCATGGACAAAATTTGCCCCAGGCTTAAATTTAGTAAATAAACACAGAAGATCATCCTATCACTAATTTTATTTTTTTACAAGTGTTGTGAAATGAGTTTAAATACTCCTGGTTATAAATTGTCTTGTCAGTGGTATTCTTGCCCATCTGTTAGCAACCAGGCACTGCCCCTCAAATTGTTCTGATATTGCTCATTCTTCATTACTGTGGTGAAAAGTTATTGTTTCTTGCTTTTAAAATAAAATAAAATGAAGAATCAGAAGTGTAAAGAAAATGCCTGTGGAGTGGTACAATTGTCTGTAATATGCGGCTGGATTTGTTTTATAACCTAGAACAATTTTTAACAAGCTTTAAATCTTAAGGAATACTGAGGAAAAATACCATTGGAATGAGAACAGAATTACTCATTAAAAAGGGGTTTCTGTCCAATTAGATAATCAAGTAATTATAGCTATGGTTAAGACTATTGTATGTTACCCTGTTAATAGTTTTGGGCTTGCCTGACTGTCAGCATCCCACTGACTACTTTCACAGGCAATTTGTCGTGTTTTGCTGGTAAAGCTACTTGCTTGGTTAAGAACGATTCAGTCAGTTCCTTGCCTTTGTGTGGTGACTGTATATGTATGTGAACCACGGGGAGTTGCTCTTTTGTGTTTGTATTCATTTATCAAGCTAAACTGTTTTCACTTTGCAAAGTTAATTTGTTCTGCAGATCAGTTAAGACATGTAGACCTTTTAAGACACAAACCAGAAGACCCAAGTTTAAAATAGACGTGCCACAGAACAGGCTTGACTATATCAACCAGCTTGGATGCCTCTATAATCTTTGGCCACCATCCTGATAAGATGTATGAATGTACTTAACTTTCTACATACTGAGAAGTCTTACTAAAGGCTCTGGAGTTGTGCTTAGCTTTATGTACATGCCAAAGTCTTTGCAAGATTACAGCTCACCCTGTTATGGATGCTGTGTCACTGGACAAAACCAGCTTTGAGCATTTGGGAGAATAGATTTTACGTGGTAAGGCTGAAATATACAGTATTGAGCATTTCCAGGAAATACCTTGGCACAGGTCAAAGGCACCACTCAAAGTACGTAATTTTCCCTCTTGCTTTGATTAGTTTGTTTCATGCTAGTCAGCCTTTTCCCAAGCCCACCAGAGCTGTGCTAGTAGTTTAGTACCTACTTTTTGAAAGAGCTTAGTTTATCTGATGTTGATAGTTGGTTCAAAGCAGCTTGAAATGAGCTGCTCAGCACTTTCTTTAAAGAAACCTGGGCAGATAAGTAGATGTTAAATTCTCTTGATAATTTAATTTCACCTCAATCTGTCAAAGCTGGTCAGAATCTTCTGGCACAGATCTGATTTTTGTCTGTGCAGGGTAGAGCAGTAATGTTATCTAGAATACATAAAAAGAGATAAAATGTATTCTTTTTCATCAAGCATTG